CACCGAGAACGGCGACAGTGAGGTAGGTGGCCAGTGCAGCTATTATCATAGGTCTATCAGATAGGATGCTCGAGTAACACAAGCATATAACAGTCATTTTCCTGAATGCAAACAATCGTGTTCACGTCTTTTTCCTCATATGAGCACATGTCATTTTCGAAGTTATTTACGCATAACAAACGTTCACTCAAATTCAATGTCGCTTTCACTCCAAGTAATTAGTCCAAGTAATTTAGTTGTTTCAATGTTCTCTATACTCTGAATAATCAATTAAAATGAAGAGGAATATGGAGTGAAACTACTTTAAAGGTATAACAAACGATAACCAGTGATGAGACATGGCTTAATTGATAGATTTCCATAGGGAGGTGAACGTTGCGATATGAAACTGAAATGAGCATTGAACTTGACTTTTATGATAGATTGTTTTGTTCACGCTAAAGAATTCGTTGTTTTGTTTATGCTAAAGAAAATTGAACAGGTAAAAATACAATATGAACCTTATCAATGCACAAACAACAATGAGAATCTTTCAATTTCAGCAAATATTCACGTGTTTCTGTAATAAAGATTACTGCAATGGAGAGCGTTCGATTCGTCGTATGGAAAGTACACCAGTGCAAATGGTGACTTGTATTTGCAACGGTGCACATTGCACTGCGAAAACTTGTGTTGGTGAACTGTGCTCGTTTGTGATTAATCATAGAACGCACAAAAGTGAACAGGTAAAATATTATATGAATATCATATTTGATAGAATATTCATTCATTTATTTATTTAATGAGCACATCCATCGACTCATTACGAGTCAATGCCTCTCTGTTATCACCAATATCACTAATATCACATTCCTCCTTCGTTGGCATTCTTCTTTTCGCGCAGCTGACGATAATAGCGTTGGGAATGTGTCAGAATCTATGTAAGAAATTAAAAAATTGCGTTAATCAAGGGATGTGTCAACGCATCGGTGCCACTGATCGAGAGGCGATCATCGGGAGCATGCATGATCCCCCCGATAACGGGCGCGATGCATCATACGGTGTCCAGAGATGCGCATCAGTTATTGGCAACCGAATCGTGTGTTTGTGCGACTGACTTTTGCAACAGCGAAAAGCCTGAAATCACGGTCAACGAAAAGATGAAATGCAACACTTTTGTGACACTACACGTGATGGGTACCAAGGTTGTTATTATAGCATTTTGTGCTCTTGATAAGGTGACTGACCTGCTGAATCAGTCACTCAACGCAGTGTTCAGGTGTCATCGCGCAACACGACATGTACCGGTGAATACTGCTTCAAAGCGAGTATCAAGAGTAAAATTGGACATATGAATGAATACAAAACCATGGGATGCGCTTCGTTTATCGATGGCGCTGAACTTGTCGAGGAATTGCAACCGGTCGGATGTGCCAAGTTCCAGTCCGAAAAAGTCACCGTTGAGACTTGCTTTCAGGTCGTTACTTCTTATTTGCTATCACAAATGAAACCTCCCTTATATGCTTGAGAAGTGCGATGAGAATGCGCAAAGATAATAACGTTTATTTGATGCTCACTTTTCGGTTCCCTAAATCGTATTCATAGCAACTCTCAAAACTGACTAATCGTAAGCCTAATCGATCTCAACTAAACACCGTTTTATTTCTGATTGCTGAAACAGAAATATTATCCATAATATTATTGTTGCTTACGATTGCGTGTAAATGCGAGAAGAACGTCAGGGTTTGTGCACGCTTATTTTCTTTAGTTAAGACACTGAAATAAGAAAGAATGCAGCAGATTCGATGTATTGCACACGGTGTAGCGACGTTTGATTTGAACGTTTCGACTTTGAACACAAATTTTAACTGATCCTTGAGCTTTGGCCCAGCTGTGTGACGATCATTAGAGTAATGCATCGATGAATTTATCAGATGATGAAGGAATGTGAAATTATTACAGACAAAAGACCGAAGTGCGATTGGACGTGCACGTGCAAATCAAGAAGCACCGCCGGGTTTGCGTAGAAAGACATTCAAGAAGATAACGAAAACAAAGAACAAATATCAGTTCGCGTTATTATTATTATTATTATTATTATTATTATT